TTATGATATGATTATAATAAAAGTTAAAGTTGGGATTCAACCTTTTGAAATAATGATTATAATAAAAGTATAATTATATCGAAATAATGTTTTATAAATTAGAGACGTATGAGATTTGGTAAGTGAATGAATAATTAATAATGGAGATTTTGAAAATATATATAGATGGATATATGTCATCCTTGGAATCCCTATCATGTCTCATGATCTCTCATCCACAATTGATCCATCATTTAAAATCCCAACAGCATACGTATCTATCGTTAATAAAATAATTTGACTGCAAATTAAAGTGGGCTCTGAAATATCTTCATCACCAGGACCACCTTTCCCCATCTAACCAATTATCACACCTATTACCCTACTGCCCTAGCCATGCCCAATATCTAGGCCGGCTTATATACACAACAATACTTACACCCTAGACTAGGGTTCACCTAATAAACTATATTTTTAATACGAAGTACTTCAATTTAACGTATTATATGTTAATTTTGATTCACCATGCATTAAAAATAAATATGTATCAGTCGTACATTAAAAATGAATTTATGTAATATACTAAAAATGAATATATATATATATATATATATATATATATATATATATATATATATATCACTCTTAGCCTAAAATCGATGAAATGGCCAAATAAGATCATAAAATTTAAGATTATTAGAGCTAAATAATTTAATCCAATGTGAAAAGTTTTAGTTGGACTCGTTTGATACCAATCGTTATACCATGCACCAGGGCGCACAATGCGCCTTGGTCCAAAACGACGTCATTTTTATAAGTTGTGTGGAGAGTTGATGCGACGAACACCGTTTCGTCTGTCTAATCCCGTTACAGTTTATTTATTTATTTATTTTTATTTTTAACACTTGTGTTTATGTGTATTATGTTAAGAATTTGTGTATTATGTATTATGTTAGATTATGTGAATTATGTTAGGAGTTGATGTGTATTATACTATATAATTTTATACATCTGAAACATGGAATTTTTTTTTTTTAATTTTTAGAAGTCAACGACAGAAACGAGAAACGACGTTGTTTTGATCAAGGCACACAATGCATTGTGTACCCGGGTGCACGATATAATTTGCACTCTGATAGCTTAAAGTTTTAGGATTAGAGCCAAGAATTTTAAACTCGACAAAAAAAAATGATAAGATGCCAAGAATTTTAAACTCGACAAAAAAAAATGATAAGATTGACAACCCGATAAAACTAGTTATGCAAACGAGCTGACCTAATTGAAATTTCTATATATCAGGGTTAGGTGGACCCTGGATGCATGATATAATGTTCCACATACACAAAATCATTAATCACCCATCCTAAAACTAATGCATATATATGATATATATACTTATAGATATGATTTGGATCCTTTAAGCTGCATGGGGGCCGTTTAGATAGATATGCCTAAGTTATTTGGACCCCTTTGAGCTTATGGCCTGGTGTTTTCTCTGTTAAGTTTGCTTATCATATAATCCAGATGAAGGAAGTTATCAGCCCATAATTAAGGGCAAATTTTACTGTGACAATGGTCCAAAACGCTTTCGTGTAATTAATTCTTTTTTATAACATATTCAGTTTCATTTTATATACATTGTAGTTCCATTTCAGCACAACTAAAGTTTCATTTTGTTTTAACTACAGGTTCATTTGACATTATACATACAATAATAGTCTTATTGCAGTGAGACCGGCCTGTTATTGAATTTCATTTTTTACACATTGTAGTCTTATTACAACACCACTAAATTATAATTATAATTCAACTATGGTTTCATTGGACAATATTCAGTTTCATTTTGTATACATTGTAGTTTCATCACAACACAACTAAAGTATCATTTTGATATAACTACAGTTTAATTTGACAATATACACTCAATATATGAGACATGCTATTTAGTTTCTTTTTATACATACTGTAGTTTCATTTCAGCATAACTAAAGTATCAAAATTAATAACTACAGTTTCATTTGATATTACAAACTCAATATGTGAGACATATTATTCAGTTTCATTTTATACATATTGTAGTTTCATTTCAACACAACTAAAATATCATTTAAATTCAATTACCATTTCATTTGATAATATAAACACAATATATGAGACAAGTTATTCAGTTTCATTTTAGATACAATGTAATATCATTTTGTTATGAACATACTACTAATACAGTGTTAAATATAAAAGCCGTCGTTTCTTTATCTATAAAACAGTGTCATTTTCGGACCATGCTCCACCATATGATAATTACAATGCATACAACAATTGATAATTAAGTCCCATACATAGATGGGAAGTTGAATTTCTCCTCTATGATCGTTGTGGAAATTAAGGAACTGATGAAAATCTTGACATATGCTCATGAGTCATGAATGCATGCATGGTGTTCTAGCTTGGAATTTTTTTTTTTAATTTTTTTTTTGTTTCTTGGTCAAACCAGGAAATTAAAGGCACCTCAACTCAAAATAAGATGTGAAACTTTGCTTGGATAGCAACTGTATAGTGTAAGGCCGGTTTAAATTTTATAAATGACTAAAAAACGTTGTTAATTTTGTTTTGTATGCAATAACGTACACACATTTAAAGTGTTGGGAGGCAGTTTAGAGATTCAAGTATAACATTTTGTCATCAAAATATGACGCGTTTGATCTGAGGATTAATTGGTATGAGAGTATGTTATAGGTGTTTGATTGATAGCAATAAAGAGAGGGCGGGCATGCAAGCTAGCTGCATACAAATGAATAGGTATAGTTTATGGATGTGTGGGGTGTTGGTAAACAAAATTTGGTATCGTCCCAATATGTCTAGGAAGGGTCAGAGGTTGTTTTGCAAAGGACCATGCTCATAGGCCAACCCTTTAATTACATGTCCTTCACTCCTTCAAAATTCTTTACCCCTTTATCTTTTACTATTTTGATATTGTGTTCAATTGTTATATATATATTGTGGACCTTAGTTTGTGTAGTGCATGTGTTTGTTTGAGGAGTTATGATATTCAAGTTTAATTTATTGCTTTTGTGGTAAATTTTTTCATTTCTTATTTATCTAGCTACCTAGCACATGGGTGTTGGCATGAGAACTCTACATTAGTATGATATTGTTCGTTTTAGGTCTCGTCAGTACAGATTTGAGTTTAGACACTTATCTGATACATATGACCTCATACCAACAGTATGTGTAGGTGTGTGCATGTATGGTTCTGATCCCGAATTATCACTATATGCATATATAAGTGACATATTTTAATTTTTTAACTTCCCAAAATTATATATATATATATATATATATATATATATATATATATATATATATATATATATATATATATATATATAGGCTTCGAATCCGGTGCACCCTCTATTATAGATGAAATCATGAGATGAAATCCGGTATGTGCATTACTTTTTTTCGGTCTGTGCATTTTCAGGTTTCATTTTTTGTCGTGTTTGTTTAGAATACATCGTAATACAAACAACGTAGAATGGGACGTGTGTGCGTGAGTAACCTATTTGTTAGAGTGCGGTAGGACACAGAATGTTTAAAGAGGTATTGGTAGCGTAAATTATAGATTGTGATGTTGGATGATAAGATGAACATAGGTAGATGCATATTTGTCAACAGGCGTGTGCATTAACTTCTTTGGAAGCCATGAGGGGAGATAAAGAGAGATATTGATGCGCTGAAATCGGAGAGAGGATACGAACGGAAAAGGAGCTTGCGGCCGAAGCGATGAGAGAGGAGTTAGAATAGCCTAGGGATCGAATGCAATGGGAAGAGAAACAAAAAGACAATCCTAATAAATCTCTTCCCACACGCAAAATAACCGGCGGAAATAAAGCAATGACATAATAAAAGACAAGAAGAAAGTACAAAAACACCCCTTTCAACCTAAACAAACAGCGCACGTGTGATTAATAACAACACCATCTGAACCGTTCAAAAAAGAAAATCAACGACTAAGGAGTGAGCTCACGGGCTCGGCTGACTAGGGGGTGTGCACCGGATTCAAAATCTATATATATATATATATATATATATATATATATATATATATATATATGTGTGTGTGTGTGTGTGTGTGTGTGTGTGTGTGTGTGTGTGTGTGTGTGTGTGTGTGTGTGTGTGTGTGTGTGGGAAAATATTTACACCTATATCGTTACAATTAAAAGTTTTTGTGTAATAACTAAAAAAAAATTACACAATTAAAGTGATTTGACCACTCCGATTACAATTCATTCAATATCGTTTCATCTACTATTCTAACTGTACCAGCTGTTCATCCATACACTCATAAGTGTACTAATGATGTGGTACGTTGAATCCCATTCTGGAGTCCGCATGTGCAATGGTCGCAAATTTAGTGCACCCAACTATACACATATTTTAACCATGGACCATCTTCAATTTATATGGATCAACATATTCAACTATCAAAATAGGACAGACACCAAGGAATTAAAAAAAAAAAAAAAAAAAAAACCACACACACGTAAAGTAAATGAAACATGCGTGGCCAACCAATTGACACAAAAATTCACTTCACAATGAATATATATATATATATATATATATATATATATATATATATATGAAGCACTACCTTTTTAGAAGCTCACGAATGGCATACAACCATGCACAATATGAAGGAAGAATCCCCATCATGTATTAACCCTTTTCGGAATCTTTTCGAAACTTTACACTCGATCTTTTTATTGTAATACTATTTTTAAAATTTAATACTTTTTTAATGTTACTAACTCTAGTATAAATACCGTCTTTACTGAAACTCAAATCCACAACCTCTCATATATATGAAAGTCCAATCTGATTTCATTAGACCAGAATGTGTTAGCTCTTTTATTTAATGTTATTATATTATGAACAAGAGTCAAAGTAAAACTAACATAACTCTCACAGGTAACTTTAAAAATAAAGATTAATATTATACTATTATATTTATCATTACGATAAAAAAAAAAAAGATTTAATATATATCTAATCTCCCTGCAGGGAACAAAGTTACAACAACTTACAATCGAACACCACCGCGAGGAGATTAGTAATTAGAGACATAATTATGAACTAAAAATTAAACGATAAAATTAAATCTCCCATAAATGTTGGAGTCATAAGTTAGATTACAAGAAGGCCATGAGGCCATCCATCCTTAAGTGTACAACACTTTTGATTCCTGGGTGGTAGATTGCCGCTGATAGCTTCATGGAACAAAGCTAAGCCCTCGGTCGTCGGTCGATGGTCGGAATAGTGGTCGGCCGGGAACATTTTACCTAAGCATCGACGTTAGATTTTCGAAGACGTATTCGTCGCAGGGGATGGTGAGGCCCATGTCGCCGTGGTCGAAGCCGAACTCTTCCTCGGCGCGTTGAAGGAGGATTTGGAACTCCGGTTGGGTCAAGAAGGAGATGGGAACAATGTACCTAGTCCGGTTCTCGCCGACGTAGACGGCGAAGTGTCCCCTCGGAACGTCGATGGGGAGGCCTTCTTCATCGTACCCATGTTTTTTCCCGAGTTTCTTCAGAATCTGCTTGATCATTGCGGTCTGGGCCTGCAGTTTCTTTGACTTTCTGATACCCATTATATTATTGTTCTTGAATCTTGAGCTGTGGGAGATCAGATAGAGAAAATGAGTTAAATGTGAATCTGTGATGTTGGGTTTTTGGAGAAGATGGATGGAGTTGTGGGAATGGGAGGGGGTTGAGGGATATATATATATAATATGGGGATTTGGGTTTGATGGAAATGTGAGTATGGAGTAAAATAATGGAGAAAATTAAAGGAAAGAAAACAACAAAGGCATGTGGAGTTGTGGGGGTGAATAAGCTAAGAGACCTTCAGCCATAGAGTTTATTACTTACTGTTGGCTTTCATCAAGACATCATGGACCCTTAGCTTCTAGACTTTAATGCATTAACTAGAGGGGAAAAAAAGAAAAAGAAAAATAAATTTTAATTCATTGCTTAGTTAATTAATTAGCTCTTCTTTTGTCTTGATTCAACTTGAGAAACTTCCTCTCATTTTCCTTCAATGGCCTGGCCGGTTTCTTGACTTGGGTATATTCTCAAGTACATTATGCTTGCACGGTTCATGCTCTTAACTAACTTAAACTTTTATTAGTTGGAGTTAGTTTCATTTTCATGTGTAATATAAAGTATAATTTTAAAAGTGTAAATTTTAAGTGACCTATAATATTAGTGGGCGTTACCTATTCAGTTGATGGAGACGCCGAGTAACATGAAATATATGTATCTCTTGGTATAACTAGCTGAGATGCAAGAGGTCATGTGCAATAAAAGAGAGAGTGCGGCTTGAGGCCAGATGCATATGGGCCGGCCAACTGACCTAATGAGCCATCCCGTGAAAGATATATGGAGACATGACATTAGACCGACTTCATTAGAGTATGCCAACTGCATATATTGTATAAATAGCTCACTCCATACCAGCAGGGGTCATCTTGTACCCATTTTCACCACACTCATTTCACTCAATAGCAATACCTGATCCTCTAATAAGAGTCTCTCAGCTCGATCGATCGATCAGCATACTACTTCAATACACTATGTTCTATTCACCAAAAATCATAGCAAATTCTTAGACCACAACCTAATTTACACTATCATGAATAACATATGATTTTGATATAATAAATTATGTGTGATTTAAGATAAAACGAATTGAGTATGATAATATAGGCTCAAGTTAGAGCGAGGTTTGGGAAATTAAAAACTATGCTAGATCAGAACATCTTGTTGGCTCTAGCTTAGTAGGCTATATATTGATGACTAACTATGAGTCACTCCATCCATAATTGTGATCAATCAAATCTTTGAAATATGACTATTAAGCATTGATGGAGATTAAACAAGGGGAAGGAAGGTACAAAAAGAAAATGGAGGCAAGAAGGAGAAGATTGGACTTCTAATCTGCAACTCCCTAGTTCTAAATACAGCCAGTGAAATGGTTGATAGATCATATCAATCCTTCATAACTAGTTATATGCTTTGATTTATATAGAATCAAGATCAAAGATAATATCGGACAACTTCAAAATGCACAATTTTTGAAGACCCATTTTTAAACAATTGTATATCGATATATGAATACCCAATAATATACCTACTCAATTTAAACTGGTCAACTATACGTAACCTTAAAAGGGACTTCACACAACCCACAAAGTTTCTAAAGACCCCTTAGGTTGGGCTTCATATCCTTCATACGGCAAAGTTTTCGAAGATACTATGATGATAAAAAAATTATTTTACTTAAACAACTTAGAATATAATATGGATGGAGTTTTGAAATAATATTAAAAATTGTTGGAGCTGTCGCAATCTTGATTAAAGAAAAACATGGTCGTTTTAAGGAAGGGCAGAAGCACATAGGGTACAAAAATGCCACTTGATTAATATAGCTGAACCTACACATAAGAATGATTTATAATTTTATAATTTTTATTTTTTCAATTCTTTCGTAATTAATGCTTAACACGCTATGTGTTGCAAAGTGGGGGCAACAATGTGACAGACAAAATGCCATAAATCATATATACATCTGTTGTGTTGGTTTCCAATAAGATAATTTTTATATTTTATGTTAGATCAGCTTTCTAATTTACTAAATTATGCACCGTACGTACATATGTACGACTAAGATCCATAAAGATGTGTTTTAATTTATTTCAATTAAAAGTTTGAGGCTTTAAGCGGGTAGTTTGACGAACATTTATTACTTATATTTATGATGCTCAACACATGAAAACTAAAGCAAAAAAAGAACGAATTCGATTCTTTCGAACACCCTCTCACTCGCGCCTATTGCACATAATCTTTATAGTGTGGTTTACCTATTCAGTGTGGTTTATACATGAAAGAGGTTTACTTACCTAATGCATACCATTTGTTCATAATGACTACGGATTTCTCTCATCATCCGAAAAAATAAATAAGTAAATAAAAACCTAATAGCTTGCAATAGTTGATAAGCGCGGGCTAAAATTGACTCTCGTATGTGTGTCTACATGTTAAAGAATTTTTTGTCATTTTAAAAAAAAAAAAAAACAAGATTGAGAGTTAAACTGTGTGGACTCGGCATAAAGCAGAGCGAATCCAGATTAATTTCACAGTAGTGAAAATACAAAATGTTGTATTAAAAAAATAAAAATAAAAAGCTTATTTACAGTGAGACCCCATGGAGCAGTAGAGTACTGGAGATATTCAGAGATGGTGGAGTTCTTTGTCTCAAAAACCTGTAAGCTGATGTTGGAATAATGTTGTGCATGTTCAGTCCTTTGAGAAATATTATCACTATCTCTCAATATATATGTAATATAGTATAAAAAAGTATATATTATTATTATTATAACATTATTATATATGCATGTCCTCCATCGTTTAATTCATTTCATGTGACGATATACTTTCAAAATGACATTAATTTCAATTAATGTTTAATTTGTTTCATGTGACACTAAATGCAAATACTAGGTAGCAGTTTGCCAGCTTGTCACTGTATCTCTAATCTCAGCATTAACATAGTACTTAGTTCATTTGTTATGATACTAAATATTATATGTATAAATGGTATTACAATCTCTATATATAAATCATAGTATCAACAATTATTGAGTATAGTACTATATAAGTCGATCTATAAAGCATATATCATAGTAACATACTAACTAACATGATGTTTTATTCATTTAATATGATACTATGAATAACAACATATCTGATAATATAGTATCAAATTAAAGTTGATATTATATACAAAATTTGTACCATCCATTTTTCTTTTATAGTATAGTGATAAAACTTATGATTGATATTGAATTATTTAAGTTTCAATTTTAAAACTTTGAGAATAAAAAATGTTACATCAATGCCAAAATTATATATGCATTCTATTTCTATACCCAAAAAAAAAAAAAAAAAGTGTTGATGGATATATTAGGAACGGGCTCGGGACAAACCGACTCGGGAAGGCGTAGTGCAAGGGGCCAAGGGCGACCCCGGCACGGGCTGACTAAGGCCTCATTTAGGGGACTCCCGCGGCCCGGCCAAGGTCAACCCGGGAAGACATGGTGCTAGGGGCCAAGGACGGCAGCCCCGGCACGGGCCGACTAAGGCCTCGGCTAGGGGATCGGACTACTTCGACCCGTCGGCCCGGCCAAGGTTGACCTCGGCAGGGGTCTACTTCGACCCGTCGGCCACGGCTGGGGCCTCCCTCGACCCAGGGGCAGAAGACTGCCCCGGGTCCTCGCGTGGACTCGGTCAAACCGCGATCCAACCGCCCCACGAGAATAGCGTGGGCGGTTGGGAGGTTAGCTAATATAAAAATTGGGATCATTGTCTTGTTGAGGACATTTACTACATTCTCTAAATATCAAATATTCCTTGTAATTCTCCTATGAAATACTATCAATACGAAAGTTGTCCCCGCGACCTATATTCATCGCCTTTTCCTGTCCATTATTTATCGGGTTTAGTAATTCGGATCCACCCCGGGTAATTAAATCCATCAAGTGTCTTACAAAAATTTTATTCAACAAAATAAACTACCATTTTCACATCACCAACCTAACATTTAGCACATTCATGAAATTAGTTGAGATGTAATCAAGAAATGACATTAGTTGATGGAATGTAATATGCATTGTTTTCAAAATGTGAGTTTAGTTGTTTTTCGGTGTACCAATAAAAATGCGTAATTTAATTTTCAACCTTGATAAATTGTGATGCATAACAGTGAAGGGAAAGAGATCAACAATCGAGTATTGTATCTTAATTATTAGATAAAAATTTTGACATTTCTTAATCAAGGGATATAGTTGTAAGAAGTCATCAGTAGAGTTGATTTAATTTTTTGAATTTTTTCTCCATTCGATCTTAAAAACTTTTAGAAAAAAGGTTTTGTTATAAATATAATTAAGTGTGGACATTATGAGATTGATTATGTAACTGATGTAACTGTCAGATTTATGTCTACCATTATTACCTTCCGTTACAAATGTATATTACATATATGTATTGTTGTAATATGAAGGAAGTAGATGAATGAATAGAAATGATTCTCCTTTCTCCCTTGTCTATTCTGTATATTCTTTTAACACGTTATCAGCATAGATGCTTTACCAATGGATTATTATTGGCTTTGATCAGAGGGAGTACGATCGTGAGATGTCGCAGCAGACTGACGATCTTCGGATCGTGGATTGCGATTATGTTGCGATGGATGAGCGACGGATGGCGAGGGTGTTTTCGCCGTTGTCCAGAATCGTCTCCAACACCAATCCGCATCATCGCCAAAATCAGTTGCCCGATAATGATGTCAAGGCGTCGCAATTTTTTTCTGATTAGACGATCGACACCCATCCTCAGATCGATCGCATGCCTCGGCGGTTTTTTTTCGGAAAAATTGCAGGTTGAGACATCGGCCTTTGGGATCGCAGATCATGGTGCGGCTGGTGGGGATGCGCTCAAATCATCCATCAAGCACACGATCTGTGGACATTGGTGAATCCTCACGATCTTACTGACGGATCTATCAGCTCTGTCGGCGATCCAGATTGGCCTCCTCAGTTGGCGACTGGAATATCGCTCAAGGGAAGCAGAAGACGATGAGAAATAGTTTGAACTTCTCTGGCGTCCATTTACGGCGGCGTCGCTCTAAAACTCAACCCACCGCGGCGTGCGTCATCACCGATCGTGACTACTGTCTAGGAGCGAAACCACCGCTTCCACCGCGAGACTACCGCGCCAGTAGCAAGCCGTGTTGATGGCCGCGTTTGATGATGCCGACACTGATCGAAGAGGCCGCAACAGAGCACCATCGC